CACCGGCACCGGCAGCTCCTGCTTGGAGTCACCGACCGCGCTCAGCCCCTCTTCTCAGCTCAGACTCTGTGCATCTGCCCCTCCAAAGCTCACGCGCCCCTGTTACCCGTTTTAGGCCCAACAAGGACGGGTTCGCTCCCGCTTGCATGCTCAGTTGAACTCAGGACAAAGAACAGCGGGGGGGATCTCACCACGGCTGACAGTCCCCTGTCCCCTCTGCCCCGTCCGTGAAAGAACCGCTCTCAGTAGAGTTCCACAGGACGAGCTTTACCCTTGTGGGCATGGAGAGACCCGGGAATCGTGCCTCCCGTGTGCTGCCAATCATGTGCCTCCGACGCAATGTCGGTGCTGTGTGGGATGGGACACAACTCTGCCTGGCCCCGGGCAATCCAAAAGCTCTCGTGCCGCTCACTGTGCCGGTGCTGTGAGAGGCGGGGGCTGAGGCCCGCCCAAGGGCGGAGCTGGCGGCGGCGGAGAGGAGGCGGCACGGCCGGAGCAGAGAGCCGGGGCTGGCGGGGACAGCGATGCTCGGGCGGCGGAGCGGCGGGATGCGGCGGGGTCGGGGCGCGGGGCTGGCGGCGCTGGCCGCGGTGCTGCTCGGTGCGCGGGGGGGACAGAGTTGGAGCAGCCGGGTCGGAGGCTCGGGTGATCCCGCAGGTCCCTGGAGGCTGCTGTCCTGCCCTGGCTTCTTCACAGACCACTTCCCGAGAACTATGATCCTTTCATCCTTCCTTTTCACCATCCTATAACTCCTCAGGAAACCCCGCGTTCTGTTCTTTGCCCAACCCTGCACAAACATCCCTTTCCTCTCTTTCTTTATCAATCACGTAGTCAGTCCAGCTCCCTTGCTACATTTCTTTATTTCCTTTTTGGCTTTCCCCAACATCCTCCCATTCTCCAGTGACTCTCCCAATCCTATCAGTCACGCACTCATCTCGCTATAATTAATTTGACGTTCTATTCCTACATATTTCGGCATTTTCTGAGAATCGCTGTCCTCATCACCCCTGTATGTTCCTGCCTACTTCTGGGAGATTTTTTTCTTTGGGCAGCGCTGGGAAGATGGTAGGATTTGAGATTTGTCCTTTTTTCTTTCTGTGTCCCAGTGGCTACAGTGAGAGCCCAGGTGCAGCAGGAGCCGTGGCTGGAGACCACCGAGGGCACCGGCACCACCATCAACTGTTCCCACCCCTCCAAACAGATCGGCTATTACATCCATTTCTACCGTCAGCTCCCGGGCAAAAGCCCGAATTCCTCGTACTCACTGCTAGAGGAACCAAGGATCTGGCGGACATTGCAGGACAGCTGTCGGTGTCGGAGGACGGCCGGAACAGCGCTCTGTACCTCGCTCGGCCCCGGCGCGGGGACGCGGCCGTGTATTACTGCGCGCTGGGTGACACGGGCACAGGAGCCGCGGCTGCGGCCGGGCACGAACCGCCGCGGGCGGGGACAGCAGGGGACAACAGGGGACAACAGGGGACAACAGGGGACAACAGGGGGCGCTGCCGCTCCGCTCGAGAGCCTCTCGGGAACAGCCCCGAGCAGCAGCTTCCCAAGATCAACAGGAGCCGAAGTGTAGTTGAGCGCTGCCGGCACCTGCCCCATACAGATGTGTCCAGGGAAGAGGCGCTGAAATGCAGCCCCTGTCTCGTGAGCCCTCCCTTTACTGACCCTCCAAAGCTCACGCTCCGCTGGTGCTGATTTCAGGACCAACAAGGACGGGTTCGCTCCCGCTTGGACGCTCAGTTCAACTCACGATAAACAACATGGGCGGGGTCTCAGCACTGCTGGCAGCCCCCTGTCCCCTCTGCCCCAGCCGTGACACACCCGCTCTCAGCTGTGCTGCAGGGGACAAACAAGGTGCTTTTCCTTGTGGGCCCGGAGAGAGGCTCGGGAACCTGCTGCCCGTGTGCTCTCAGTCGCACTCGGTATGGATTTGCTTCCAATGCAGTGTCAGTGCTGTGTGGGATGGGACACAACTCTGCCTGGCCCCGGGCAATCCAAACGTCCTTGTGCCGCTCATTGTGCCGGTCCTCTGAGAGGCGGGGGCTGAGGCCGGCCGGGGCGGAGCTGGCGGCGGCGGAGAGGAGGCGGCACGGCCGGAGCAGAGAGCCGGGGCTGGCGGGGACAGCGATGCTCGGGCGGCGGAGCGGCGGG